TCTCTGGTGGGGTGACCCCATGTGTTACCGCACCGGATATGTTCATGGGTCCGGGATAGTCATTTACCGCTACACCGGCACCGCTCCTTCCTCTCTGGTGGGTTGACCCCACGTGTTGCCGCACCGGGTATCTTCACGGGTCCGGATACTCATTTTAGCACTACACTGGGGGCAGCCATCACTGTGCCGGGAATCCAGGATCACCCCAATAACTGGCCAGGACCTTCACAGAGCCAAGAAGCTCTGCTAGCATCCTGCTCCTGCACTCCCTGTGTTGGTGTCACCTGGTGGGACCCGCACCCCCCTAGGGACGCCACTGGTCCATGTATACTAGATTTGAGTCAGATGGGTGCTGGGACCCCTCCGTTTGGTATTTAGACTTGGACATGGGTCCCTTCTTTCTGCCTGTCAATCCATACACCTTGAATGAGTGGTTTTTGCCAGCAGTTGCACAGTAGGGCCCATATATTGGTCTTACACAGGCAGGGGCTGACTGACCATTCGAGCACTCCGGCACTGCCCAAGGGCCCGGGGGCAGTAGGGGGCCCCATTAAATGCCCCTGGTACCTTTTTATAGGCTTTTTTGGGTGTGCTTTGAGTTTGGGCAAGAACACAAGGGCCCCATGATCCCCTATTTCCCGGGGGGGGGGGCCCCATGAGTTGTCAGTCCGCCCCTGTACACGGGTCCATTGGAGACTCTGCCAACCACTGACTGCCAATCATACCGGCTGCTTCCAGCCTAATCATTTCATATTGATTCTTTCTGTGTGGAAACTTACCGATCTTCTCCTGCGATGGAGGAAAACCTTCTGCATCCAGTTCTTGTTCTGCCGGCTGATTAGTGTTCAGATGTGAGATTACAAATATATGAAGCGTCTTTTATCTTCAGACTCCATATTCTGTATATAGGAGTATATAGTATGTTACGATATTTTTTTTTTATTTTTCAGGTCACCCAAAATCGATACATTTCGGTGGTTCCTAACGAGTTGTTAGCCATTGGCTTCTTATTTGCCTTGGAAACTCCACCAGTGAGATCTCTCTGCCATCGGTCCTGGCTTTGCTCTGGTCCAGCTGGGAGTTCTGGGTGTTCTCACCCGACTTTGTGTTCCAGATCCTCTGGTTACATTCTCCATGAAGTATAAAAATCCAGCAGAGTTGGTGGAAACCCTTCGTAATGGGGAAATGAGGGTGTACAGACCCGGGAACTCAGTGCAGGGATGGTGGGAACCCCTCACAATGGGGAAATGAGGGTGTACAGACCCGGGAACTCAGTGCAGGGAGAATGGAACCCCTCATAATGAGCACAGTAGGTGGGCAGACCTGGGAACTAAAAACAAAGTTGGTGGGAGCCCCTGATAATGGGTTCATCAGGTGGGCAGACCTGGGAATTCAAAACACGGATGGTGGGAACCTTCAAAATGAGTACATCAGTTGGGCAGACCTGGGAATTCAACATTGGGATGGTGGGAGCCCCTCATAATGGGTACATCAGGTGGGCAGACCTGGGAATTCAACACAGGGATGGTGTGGGTCCCTCTTAATGGGTACATTAGGTGGGCAGACCTGGGAACCAAGCACAGGGATGGTGGGAACCCTTCAAATGGGTACATCAGGTGGGTAGACATGGGAATTCAACACAAGGATGGTGAGAACCTCTCATAATGGGTACATCAGGTGGGCAGACCTGGGAATTCAACACAGGGATGGAGGGAGCCCCTCATAATGGGTACATCAGGTGGGCAGACCTGGGAATTCAACACAAGGATGGTGCGGGTCCCTCATAATGGGTACATCAGGTGGGCAGACCTGGGAATTCAACACGGGGATGGTGAGAACCCCTCATAATGGGTACATCAGGTGGGCAGACCTGGGAATTCAACACAGGGATGGAGGGAGCCCCTCATAATGGGTACATCAGGTGGGCAGACCTGGGAATTCAACACAAGGATGGTGCGGGTCCCTCATAATGGGTACATCAGGTGGGCAGACCTGGGAATTCAACACGGGGATGGTGGGAGCCCCACATAATGGGCACAGCGGGTGTACAGACCCGAGAACTAAACACAGGGATGGTGGGAACCCCTCATAATGGGCACAGCGGGTGTACAGACCCGGGAACTTAGCACAGGAATGGTGGGAACCCCTCATAATGGGCACAGCAGGTGTACAGACCCGAGAACTCAGCACATGGATGGTGGGAACCCCTCATAATGGGCACAGCAAATATACAGACCCGGGAACTCAGCACAGGGATGGTGGGAACCCCTCATAATGGGCACAGCAAATATACAGACCCGGGAACTCAGCACAGGGATGGTGGGAACCCCTCATAATGGGCACAGCGGGTGTACAGACCCGGGAACTCAGCGCAGAGATCTCACCAAAAGAGTCCCTAAAGGTAGAATCGATCGCCATGGCGGTATCATGCTCTACCATCCACCAAAAATGTAGTTGTAGGCTTTGGGTGACGCAGTCTATTGGACGCCAAATGTACAATATCTCGCCGTGTATATACAGTACAAATTGTATTCTAATATTTGCATAGCCGTAGTCTTAGTAACATTGACATTGAGTTACAGACCAACTCCATGCAGACGGGATGTTCTGGTCTCGGTTGGGTTCATGTATCAAGTATCTTGTGTCGAGAGATCCGGTCCAAACTCTTCTGCCTGTACCCCTCCCACAAGGAGGGATGACTCCCATGACAAGGGGATACACTTTACAGCGATCGTAAAGCGGATTCCCTTGTCCTAGGAGTCATCTTCCATAGGGAGAATCCATCCAGGGAGGGTGACACCATCACTTAGACGTGCCATGGGCAGAACCGGGGATTCTGGTGGGAATATCTCGCACTTTTGGATTCCATGAGTCTGCCAGCAACCTCTAAGCTGATACAAATGATTAATTCTGCTCTGAGTTCTGTATTTCCCTGCAGTTGTATCAGCCAATCAATTTCAGTCTATCATTTTTGTTTGTTTTTTTTTTTTTTTGGTGTGATCAGCGAAATGTATATAATTGTATCAGTCTGTGTCAGTGTTTTATAAATCGTGTTACTTTGTTGTACATTGTCATTGTATACATCTGGAGGGGGTGTGGCCAAAACTGCATTTTATATCTATGTGCTTAGTAGTGCTGCACAGTGGCTGTATTTTACTGCTCCGCCCCCTAAATGCACCTATCCGTCTCCTGGTGGGAGGATACAAAGTGTAGAAATAGATTACAAAAGGATATTGAACAGAAGTGTAATAGATCAAAGAAAATCCTTAGGAGTCCAAAGTCTTTATTGTTCGACTGGTTACAACAGGTGGAGCAACGCGTTTCAGAACGCCACACACTTCATCAGGGCTGGAGGAAAAGTCTAAATGAACACACATAAAAATGGTGGTAAAGCAGCATGGCCTATTTTTTTAGTATTGCTAGTAGTAATTCTATTTGATCCCAAATGAAAAATCCTTAGTCGTCCGAAGTCTTTAATATTCAAGTAACAAGCAGGGCAACGCGTTTCAGGGTTTCTACACAAGACTTCATCAGGGCTGGAGAAAAAGCTTAAATGAACACACATAAAAATGGTGGTTAAAGCAGCATGGCCTATCTTTTTATTATTGCTAGTAGTAATTCTACTTGATCAAAAAAGAAAAATCCTTACTCGTCCAAAGTCTTTATTGTTCAACAAGTAAGCAGGGCAACGCGTTTCAGAGTTTCTACACAAGACTTCATCAGGGCTGGAGAAAAAGTTTAAATCAACACACATAAAAATGGTGGTAAAGCAGCATGGCCTATTTTTTAAGTATTGCTAGTAGTAATTCTATTTGATCACAAATGAAAAATCCTTAGTCGTCCGAAGTCTTTATTATTCAAGTAACAAGCAGGGCAACGCGTTTCAGAGTTTCTACACTAGACTTCATCAGGGCTGGAGAAAAAGTTTAAATTAACACATAAAAATGGTGATAAAGCAGCATGGCCTATTTTTTTAGTATTGCTATTAGTAATTCTGCTTGACCACAAAAGAAAACTCCTTAGGCGTAGTAACAAGCAGGGCAACGCGTTTCAGAGTTTCTACACAAACCTTCATCAGGGCTGGAGAAAAACTTTAAATGAACACATAAAAATTGTAAAAACGCAGCATGGCCTATTTTTCCAGTATTGCTAGTAGTAATTCTACTTGATCCCAAATGAAAAATCCTTAGGAGTCCGAAGTCTTTATTATTCAAGTAACAAGCAGGGCGACTCATTTCAGAGTTTCTACACAAGACTTCATCAGGGCTGGAGAAAAAGTTTAAATGAACACACATAAAAATGGTGGTAAAGCAGCATGGCCTATGTTTTCAGTATTGCTAGTAGTAATTCTACTTGATCCCAAATGAAAAATCCTTAGGAGTCCGAAGTCTTTATTATTCAAGTAAAAATCAGGGCGACGCATTTCAGAGTTTCTACACAAGACTTCATCAGGGCTGGAGAAAAAGTTTAAATGAACACACATAAAAATGGTGGTAAAGCAGCATGGCCTATTTTTTTAGTATTGCTAGTAGTAATTCTATTTGATCACAAATGAAAAATCCTTAGTCGTCCAAAGTCTTTATGATTCAACAAGTAACAAGCAGGGCAACGCGTTTCAAAGTTTCTACACAAGACTGCATCAGGGTTTCTACACAAACCTTCATCACGGCTGGAGAAAAAGTTTAAATGAACACACATAAAAATGGTGATAACGCAGCATTGCCTATTTTTTTAGTATTGCTAGTAGTAATTCTACTTGATCCCAAATGAAAAATCCTTAGGAGTCCGAAGTCTTTATTATTCAACAAGTAACAACAAGCAGGGCAACACGTTTCAGAGTGCTACACAAGCCTTCATCAGGGCTGGAGAAATAGATTAAATTAGCCACTTTCCGTCCGGCCACTGTATATAAATGGCCAGACGGTGGCAGTGCAGGGGCGGGTTGGCGTTCATAAACGGCGCCCGCCATTTTGGATTGATTGCGCTCCCTTGGAGCGCACGGCACCACGATTCGGTGCCCGCTGTGTCCAGAGGACACTGATCGCTGCACGAGACCTGTGTGTGAGGTCCCAATCATGTGATCACTGATTGGCCAATCAGTGATCACATGAATAGGTGTAAGCAAGATGCTTACTACGTGTGAAATCTGTGAATGATCACAGAGGTCACATGGTACAGGGCTATTCACAACAGACTTGTACCATGTGACAAGCTGTGACCAATCACAGCTCTCACAGTATTTCTCAATGGCTGCAAGAATGCAGCCAGAGAGGAGGAGGAATGATTGCTTTTACAGCCTTTATGGGTGTAAAAGCAATCAGTGTAAAAAAAAAAAATCTTCATCACCCCCCACAAGTAGTACAGTGTCACCATGGTGACACTACACTGCTAGGGTGACAGTATGTTAAAAAAAAAACCCATAAATATTAATAAAAAAAAATAAAATACAAATGTAAAACATTTTTTTTAGAAAAATTATAATTTTTGGTTATAAACTAATTTGTGTTATTTTTTTTTTTTTACTAAAAAGATAACCGAATAAATTTTGCCCGAGATTTATGAAGAAAGATTATTTATTAGCAAAATTTTATAAGAAAAACACTTTTCTTCAAAATGTTTGGACTTTTTCATTTATATAGCAAATAAAAAATAAATATCCCAGCGGGGAATAAATACCACCAAAATAACGTTTTATCTGTCTCAAAAAAATTTGAAAAAATTCATACGGGTACAGTGTCACATGACCGCGCAATTGTCATTCAAAGTGCGACAGCTGAAAATTGGCCTGGACAGGAAGGGGGTGAAAGTGTCTGGACTGGAAGGGGGGGGGGAAAGTGTCCGGACTGGAAGGGGGGGAAAGTGTCCGGACTGGAAGGGGGGAAAAGTGTCCGGACTGGAAGGGGGGGAAAGTGTCCGGACTGGAAGGGGGTGAAAGTGTCCGGACTGGAAGGGGGGTGAAAGTGTCCGGACTGGAAGGGGGGGAAAGTGTCCGGACTGGAAAGGGGGGAAAGTGTCCGGACTGGAAGGGGGTGAAAGTGTCCGGACTGGAAGGGGGTGAAAGTGTCCGGACTGGAAGGGGGTGAAAGTGTCCGGACTGGAAGGGGGTGAAAGTGTCCGCACATGAAGTGGTTAAAACACACAAAAATTGTGATAAAGCAGCATTTAATATTCAACAAGTAACAACAAGCAGGGAAACACGTTTCAGAGTTTCTACACAAGACTTCATCAGGGCTGGAAAAAAACATTAAATTAAACACATAAAAATGGTGATAAAGCAGCATTGGCTATTTTTTAGTATTGCTAGTAGTAATTCTAGTTGATCACAAAAGAAAAATCCTCAGGAGTCCGAAGTCTTTATTATTCGACAAGTAACAACAAGCAGGGTGACGCGTTTCAGAGTGCTACACAAGCCTTTGTCAGGGCTGGAGAAAAAGTGGAAAATAATGGGATTTTCAAGGCAATATTATAAAAAGATCCAAAATTTGATTGAAATGTGTATATATTTAAAAAAAAAAAAAAAAAACGCAAAGCATCCAAACGGCTATAGTACATATGCAGTAACTTCAGCTCGACGCGTTTCCACCAATCACTGGCACCCTCAGGAGACTTTTGGAATACTGCATGAAATGCCATAGGGTGCTCCAGAAATGTTTAATAAATGGCAAATAACAGGAAAAATAGGTCCAGCACCTACATAGTTACATAGTTAGTCTGGCTGAAAAACAGACAAAAGTCCATCCAGTTCAACCATAAAAAAAAAAAAATTGATCCAGAGGAAGGCAAAAAAAAACCCATGATTGCCCATGCGGATATCAGTACGCCATAGGAGGGAATACAGCCCAGCCAGGAGGCAGCCTGCCACTCATGTCTTAATGGTGATAAGGAGAAAGAAGGGGTCAATAAAGATCAATTTTCAGGCCCCTCTGCTTCTATCCTGGTTAAAAATGCAACATGCTGATACAGCGTCCCAAATAGCAAAGGCTGCGACTTCTGCAATTGGTCCTCTACTATCTGCCATCTGCCATCATGGCTTTGGTCACTGGGGATGCCATGCCAGCATCTTTTATTGGGTGATGTATATTGCATTCATGGGCTGGTGGTCCTGTCGTGTGGAGAAACATTCTATGAACCTGGGAGTTGAGTTTTTGACTTGGATAGAGGGGCCTGGAAATCAATTTTTTTCATTGTGAAGAATATCTGGTTCTATTCTATTCAATATTTGAACCTGGGAGTTGAGTCTATAACTTGGATAGAGGGGCCTGGAAATCATTTTTTTTTAATTCATTGCAAAGAATAGCTGGTTCTATTCTATTCAAAATCTAAATTTTGAAAGACGACCATATTCTTACTATTGTATTCTTTTCTATTCTAAATTTGAATTTTCGAAGACAGCTATAATAATTCTATTCTTTTTTTAATTTAATTTTATTCTTTCCTTTTGTATTGCTTTCTATTCTATTTTTTTATATTCTATTCCTTTCATTTCTATTCTATTTAACTTTTTCCTTTTCTGTTTTATTCTATTCTTTTCGAAAATTCAAATTTCAGAGGTTGGCTATATTCTTTCTATTGTATTCTATTGTAATCTGTTCTATTTTTTTTTTATTCTATGTTATTCTTTTCCATTCTGTTTTATTCTTTTATTTTCTATTCTATTCTATTTTATTCCTTTATATTTTCCATTCTATTTTCTATTCTTTACGAAAGTTGAATTTCAGAAGATGGTTATATTCTAATACACACAGTCTTTGAAGGAAATCAGCAATAGTCAGGGGTATGTTTACATTTTGAATTTGTTTTCATATTCGATTTCGTTTTTAAATTTGTTTTGGATTTGATCGGAATTCGGAAAATGTGCTATTTTGGGCAAAATGTCATTTTGTCATTTCGGATTTGTTTAAATTAGATACTATTTCCGAAGACAGCTATATTAATTTTATTCTATTTTTTTTTTATCTTATTCTTTTCTTTCCTATTGTATTGCTTTCTATTCTATTCTTTTATATTCTATTCCTTTCATTTCTATTCTATTTCACTCTTTCCTATTCTGTTTTATTCTATCCTTTTCGAAATTCAAATTTCGGAAGTTGTCTATATTCTTTCTGTTGTATTCTATTGTAATCTGTTCTATTTTTTTTTTTCTATTCTATGTTATTTGTTTTCTATTCTATTTTATTCCTTTATTTTCTATTCTATTCTGTTTTATTCTATTCTTTACGAAAGTTGAATTTCAGAAGATGGTTATATTCTAATACACACAGTCTTTGAAGGAAATCAGCATTAGTCAGCAATATGTTTACATTTTGAATTTGTTTTCACATTCGATTTTGTTTTTAAATTTGTTTTGGATTTGATCGGAATTCGGAAAATGTGTTATTTCGGGTAAAATGTCATTTCGTATTTGTGTAAATTAGATACTATTTTCGAAGACAGCTATATTTAATCCTATTCTATTTTTTTTTTATTTTATTCTTTTCTTTCATATTGTAATATTGTATTGCTTTTTATTCTATTCTTTTCTATTCTATTCCCTTCATTTCTATTCTATTTTACTCTTTCCTATTCGTATTTGTTTAAATTACATACTATTGCAATTTGGAAATTTGGATACATTTGAATCTTCGGATAACGAAAATCGTGTCCTAATTTTCGAAAAGGAACAAGAAGAACCCACGCATGTCTATTCTTTTAGTATCGCTAGTAGCAGGGGCGGACTGACAACTCATGGGGCCCCCAGGCAATAGGGGATCATGGGGCCCCTGTGTCCTTGCCCACACTCAAACCACACCCAAAAAAGCCTATGAAAGGTACCAGGGGCATGTCATGGGGCCCCCTACTGACCCCGGGCCCTCGGGCAGTGCTTGAGTTCCCAAATGGTCAGTCCGCCCCTGGGTAGTAGTAATTCTGCTTTATCACCGTTTCCTGTATTATTATAAACTTTTCCTCTGGTCCTGATGAAGGGGGATTGTGTGGCCCCGTGAAACGCGTTGCCCTGCTTGTTGTAACCGCTTGAACAATAAAGACTGGGATTTTTCATTTGTTTTTTTTTGTTTTTTTTTATTTGTTTTTCATTTGTTTTTAGTTTTTTTTCATTTGTTTTTCATTTGTGATAAAGCAGAATTCCTACTAGTAATACCACAGATTAGGCAATGCTGCTTTATCACCATTTTTATGTGTTACTTCTATTATTTTATTTTTTAATTTTTATTCCAGCCCTGATGGATAGAGTGCCCCCGAAATGCGTACCTATTAAAAAAAAAAAAAAAAAAAAAATTCCATGCAACCAGGTCAACAGCACTGTGGGCAAAATATTCCCAGAAATCGAATTTATTTGTAAAAATGATTCACTTTTTTTTTTCCCATAAATTAGCACAGACCCTGAGATAAAGTTTCAGGCATCCCCAGCACTGGCCTTTTTTTTTTTTTTTTTTACTGCCTTGAGCCTTTTATTTTTGCTGATATTCTTGCCATATGTCTGCAGGGGTGCTGGGGATTTCAGGTTTCTGTGACAGATCATGTGATTATAGAAGGTAGCCCCGCCCACACAGGAAGTTACTGCAATAGCCTGCTTTAGCATGTGTAGCATAAAAGCAGGCAAGAATCAGCAATGATATGTGCTAAATTTTTTATGCTGTGTATAATGGACTTTTTTTTAAAGTGGACATATGGGCAGAATTAAAAATGATAATGTGGTCTATCGTTGGGGTGTATTTATAGGAAAAAAGATTGTATAGATATTCGTCTAGAAAAAATGCTGGTACATTTTTTTTCTCTATGAATGAGGCAAAATCAAATGTTCTATTTGCCTCGGATGTTATTAGAGAGTGGTTTGGGAAACTACCGTCAGATGGCCAGTAGATGGAGCTGATTACCAATGATCCTTAGCACCATCTAGTGGCCATAGTTGGAATTCTCCCAAACCATTGACAGACTGCATTATATACACTCACCGGCCACTTTATTAGGTCCATCTTGCTAGTATCGGGTTGGACCCCCTTTTGCCTTCAGAACGGCCTTCATTCTTCATGGAATAGATTCAACAAGGTGTTGGAAACGTTCCTCAGATGTTTTGTTCCATATTGACATGATAGCATCACGCAGTTGCTGCAGGTTTGTCGGCTGCACATCCATGAAACGTTGATACAAGGCAGGATGGATCCACCACACCATGACACCACCTCCACCAGACTGAACCGTTGATACAAGGCAGGATGGATCCACCACACCATGACACCACAC